TTATCGCGCGGGAAGCCATTTGACTGCACCACCACTTGGCGAAAAAAGGTCACGTGCCTATCCCTGAATCGAATCCAGAAGAAAACACTAATTGTTTTATATAATTTTTAATAACGATTCAAAGAATCCTATAACATTCGCTGTTTTCTTCTTTTTTGCAATTTTGATAAATCCGCTATAATTTGAAAACTTTTTTTGTTGTAGTTCATCGAATGAAGTAGTAAATGCGGAGGCGTCGCCCGATAGAGAAGAACTCCCTGCAGTCGATTCACAAGGGGCGGAGATAGTTACCGCAGGTGTGTCTCATTTTGACTTGAAAAGTGCGCTTCCGGATAGAACTAGTTATAGTAAGCTGCACTCTATGGCGTACTATATGCATGAGGCTGGTCCATATGTTAGGAAATGATTTCATATCTGCAAGCTTTTAGCGTAGTTGAAATATGAAGGTATTATTTTGATTCGCTTTGAAATTATTGCATTTTTGTCGGAGATGTATTGATGGAGACGAATGAGGCAGATTGCTGGAAAAACGCTGACATAGCCAAAATTGTAAAGGATCGACCCTCTTTGAGTCGCCAACATAAGTTTACTTTATTGAAGAGTCATTTTACACCAGGTGATAACTATGTATTCCCAAAGACCAAACAAAACAACAAGATGAGGTCGTTCCAGGCGTCTTGGCTAAAGACCGACCCTTGCCTGGTGCACAGCGAGTCTGAAGATGGTGGATATTGTAAGTGTTGTGTTTTGTTTGCGCACTTAGCGTCAAATATCACGACAGGCGCTCTTGTGAAGTACCAATGAAGAACTGGAATAAAGTGACGGATATCCTCAAGGATCACCAAAAAAAGGAATACCATATAACTGCATCACTAAGAGCCGATGATTTTCTTCAGACCGCCGAGAGGCCGGAAACATCGATCACCTCAATCATTGACAATGAAGCTGCTAGACATATTGCGAAAAACAGAAAACTGCTCCGAAGCGTAATCTCCTGTATTGTATTTTGTGGAAAACAGAATATCGCTCTACGAGGACACAATGAGTCGCTGTCGGACGAAGGAAATAATCCCGGTACCTTTTTGGCCCTTCTTAAATTCCGAACTGAGGCAGATGAAATATTCGCCGAAGCGAAATTATCTGCTCCTGTGTGTGATTGAGAAGGACTCCCCGGACGCGAAGAAAACAACATTAAAGAACATGTGCAAGACGCGATGGGTGGAGAGACACCAAGCTTACGAGGTTTTCTTCGGCCTCTTCTCGTTTATCACGCGAGCGCTTGAGGTAATGGCAAATGAACGTCTATTTGCTGGCCAATATGGCGACGCAGCATGGAGCTGGAACACAGACACCAAGAATAAAGCAAGTGTACTTGCGAACGCCATTTCAAGTTATTCTTTTATAATCACTTTGTTGACAGCAATGAAATGCCTTTCCGTCCTGAAACCCCTGAGTGTAAAACTTCAGAAGAGAGATCTAGATGTCTACGAGGCGTACACTAACAGTAATAATGTCACGGACGATCTCCAGGACATCCGAGACAACATCGAAGACATCTGGACCGAGTGGTTCGATCTGGCGGTCACTACCGCGGCAAATGTAGGTGTTATGGCTTCCATCCCGCGCCGGACCAATCAACAGCAGCATCGCGACAATGTACCAGCCCAGACACCATCTGGTTACTATAAGAGGGTAGTTGCTATTCCCCTTCTAGACCATCTACAATCAGAGATGAAAACATACTTCAATCCTACTAAAGATGCTGTCTTGTCTAGCCTCTTTAATCTTCTTCCTGAGCTAGTAGCCGTCGGAGACAGAAATCCTGACATTGAAGCAGCGCTGGTGTTTTATGAGAACCACCCTCCTTCTCCTCATGCGGTTTATGTTGAGCGCCTGCGATGGAAGAGAAAGTGGTGCAGCACTGAGGATGCCGACCTTCCCACCAGTGCAGTTCAGACACTCGCAGCATGCGAGCGAGAGTTCTTTCATAACATCCACACCTTGATCCGCATTTTGTGCACGTTGCCGATAACGTCAGCTGAATGTGAGCGCTCATTCAGTACACTAAGAAGGTTAAAAACATACCTGAGGTCGACCATGTCAAGCGAACGAGAGTCTGGGCTGGCGTTGATGAACATCAATTACCACGGAGACATAAATATCGAGGAAGTGATAAACACGTTCGCTCAACGGCAACCAAGGCGTCTTCTGTTTGCGTAGCGTAAACGCCAAAGTCTTGTACTTACGCAATGTAAGGATTTTAGACCAGCCGTTTTCGTTGGAACCAATTTGGAACGCCCCCTCATAGAAATCCTGGCTACGCCCCTGACAATCACATTGCTGAACATCATTTAAAGACAAAAAATCGAATCAACTGGGACTCTAAAACATGTATTACGCATTCTAAAGACTACTATCAACGACACACGTTAGAAAGCTAGTTTACGTACTTAGAACAAACGCCGCTGCCGGACTCAAGCAAAACTGAAAACGATCTGGTGACAACAGACGGTGTTACCAATGACGTGTATAGGCTTATAGCCAATAAAATCAAGACTTAACTGACAAACGACCAATAACATGGCGACTTAATTGACCAATGGGGTCATTAACCTGAGTTTAATACCATCAGTCAAGACCTGATACAACTCACTTTGACTCTGAAGATGACTACCGCACAGGTTGTCAAAACGTCAGTCAATAGTCCTATTTAAAACTACACTGACGCGGAGGATCCTATTCCACCTACTTTATCATGAAATGACTCTTGGGTTCAAACCGTTCACAATGTTAATTCTACTTAATTAATGGTTGATTTCAAGGTCTTGATATATAATAATAACAGCACATTAATGAATAGACACCAAGAATGCCTTGATAGTGCCAATCTAATACTCACGGCAGATTCCCCAGCGTCCTTTGTACACAGGATCCAAGGAGCACCAAGGTCTGTTGTAGTCCGCAGTAGTGCAAGAGTTGAAAGTCACTTGCTTGTATTTGAATGGAATACTGCAACATTGACCTGATGTTTTCTTTGGAAAGCAAACTGATGGGGTGGTTGGTAACAGTAACAAAGAGAAAATAGCCGTCTTTATGTACTGATAATATCATTAAAGATGCTTTAGCTGAGTCAATTTATACTCACGGCAGTTGCCCCATCTCCCCTTATACACAGAATCCAAGGAACACCAGGGTCTGTTATAATTAACAGAAGTGCAAGAATTGTAGGTCACTCCTTTATACGTGAATGGAAGACTGCAACATTTGCCTGATGTTGTCTTCTCAGGGCAAACAGTTGGTGCCGTTGTGGTGACTGGTAACGCTATCAAACAAAACACAGAATGCTTTTGATATAAGGATAATGTAACTTTGAAATACACACTAAAGTCATGCTTCAGCTGAGTCAAATTAAACTCACTGCAGTTGCCCCATCTCCCCTTATACACAGAATCCAAGGAGCACCAGGGTCTGTTATAATTAACAGATGTGCAAGAATTGTAGATCACTCCTCCATACGTGAATGGAAGACTCCCGTGTGAAATACCTCCATGGAATTCCATGGAAATCCATGGATTTCCATGGAGGATTAGGACATCAATTTCCATGGAATTCCGTGGAAATTTCTCCATAGATTTCCATGGAAGATATTTGCATGGAGGATTAGGACATTTCCCATGGAATTCCATGGAAAACATTAGGGCACCAATTTCCATGGGATTCCATGGAAATTTGTGCATCGACATT